CTTCAATTTCCCGTTGACGATATTCCTGCTCCGTGATTTCCTTTCGATGTACCTGCCTCTGTTCTTCAATTTTCCTTTGAGACTCCGGCTCTTCAACGTTATTTTTCTTTTGCCTTTCCCAATGTTCCTCGATTTTCTTTATTAGTTCCTTCTGCTCTTCAACTGCTCCCTGGAATTTCCTTTCTTGCATTCCCATTTTCGTCAGCAATTCCAACCTGTCTGTTTTGCTTTTCCTTTGGTGTACCTGATGCTCGACAAATTTGTTTGCGAGCTCTTGCTGCTTCGATTCGATTTTTCTCTGAATTAACTGCTGGCTTTTGATCTTCTCTAGAAGCGCTTCATGTTCCTCGACGTTTCTTTCATGGTCTCGCTGCTGTTCTAGCTGCTGGGTGATTTTTATTTGACGTTCCCGCTGTTCTTTGATATTCTTCTGAAGTTCGAGCTGATCATCCTCGATTTCCTTCTGAAGTTCACGCTGTTTGGCAAAAGTTTCTTTTAATCCATTCTGCTTATCTCCGATTTTCTTTTGATGTTCACGTTGTTGCCATTCGAAATTCATTTGCCGTTGTTTGTAATCATTGATTTGCCTCTGATGTTCTTCTTTCCGTTCTTCATCATGTTGTTTCTTCAACAGATCATATCCCCGTTTCATCTCCTCGAGTTTGGAAGTCGCTATTTCAATGCGATCCACAGGCATGGCGCTGAAGTCTTTAATGTAGTCCCATAGTGATTGTATTTGCCTCTGAAACGCTTCCAACTCTAATGGATCATCTTTTTCATACAATGAATCTAAAGCCACCATTGGGATTTTGATGTCTTCGCAACCCGGAGCGAAGACGTTCCAGAACTCTCTCTTTTTGCTCTCGAATGTCACTTTTTTCTTTCTACGCTCGTTCTCTGACCTCAGATCGAAGCGCCACTTGCTGAAGACGACCAGCAGGTTGAAGAAGAGCGCGGGACCAAACATTTTCAAAAGGATCTCGAAATGCGTTTTCTCTGTCTCGTCGCATCTAGTTTTCGTAGAATCCTTTACCAATATGAAGACACTCACTTTTCTCCGCTTTAAGGCTTTGAACCATTCGTTCCCTGAAGTCTGCGTCTCGGCCTTCTGAGTCCCCGTGGCCAGGCGTATCGATGACTCGAATGCATCGATGACTTTCCTTTCCAAGCCAGTAGCCGTCGATTGGACGGGTGTCAATGGTGCAGCTCATAGCGTGGTCGCTGGTCTCGAAACCTTCACTAGCATCAGGCTCCATTCCTAGAAGAATATTCCCAAGAGTAGATTTTCCACTTCCTGTCAACCCAAGAAGGACAATATTAATCCTGTTGCTGGCAATGGTTTCGGAGTTTTTGGGAGGGTCTGGGCCGGTGGTAACCGCTAATGTCCCACAGAGCCCATTCTGAGTAGAGCATGAATCGTCCCATTTTTCTTCAAGCGAGGAATGAGGCAATAACTTCTCTATTATCCGTGCACGGCCGTTCGTATTGCCGAGGCTATAGAGCTGCCGTTTGCGCTGAAATTTTCCATGATTTCGCTCTCCACTTTTAGTTTCCAATACTCCACTGACGTACATTTCCTTCAGGTTGTCTGCAGTCACGAAAACCGGTGACCGACGTTGGCAAAATATAGTGACGACGGGAATACTCCCATGATGCTCATACTGAAAATCGCTAAAAGACTTCCATCTCCTATCATTCACGATATGATGCACCGATTGGTCAACCATCCGTGCACGGTGATTATAGAAGCCTAATCTCTGCGGGCTTCTATAAGTGACAACGGGAAAATTCCCATAGAGTTCATGCGGAAGAGACCCTAAAATGTCAGCCCTGGCAAGCCAGGAATGAGACAATAATGTGTCCCCCATCCACGCACGGCCCCCTAACACCCGAGAGTAGGAGGGTATGAAAACCTGCTGCAAAGTTGAACCACTTTCACTATTCAGCAGGTGATGCCCCTGAGTAACTGAAAAGAACATTTTCCAGCCGAGCACACCAAGAGCAAACCTTCCTCGTACTTCAAAATCACGACTGTGTCCTGGTAACCGCCATTGCGGCGTCTTTTGCACTTCCTTATAACACTTGTGTTTCTATAGCTTATCTACAACTGACGAAGAAAGCGATAATGCAGTGTATCCACAGTATAGAATAACAAGATTAAAAAAAAAAAACACTAACGTTCCGGAAGCGAATACGGAGGGCTTTTTGCATTTCATGTAAAGGAAGCTGAAGAAACGGAAATATTTTATCAGACCAGAATTTTCTTGTGGCATATTCTATAGCATAGTGTGATGTTGCGACTTTGCGATATGACGCTTATGAAGCTAAGACACGTAGTATAATTCTGAAAATCAGTGATGGTTAAAAGGGGTACATTACTGCCTTTTCCGTGGAAAGTTAGACACACTAACTGGTACTCTTGAAACATTCACGACTTCGTATTTAAAGTTAATGTATTTCTGTTTCAAAAATTTAAATGAAACACACAGCTGGAATTTTCAACGATCTTATTTCGAATCAATAATATTGCGTGCGCGGGGTCATTAAGTAAGAGATGGAGCATGAGATTCTTCCGTCATCAGATACCACCGATTGACTTTGAATCCAAAAAGAAACCCCAACCCCTGTGCCTATAAATAAATTATTTACCGAGATCCCCCGACGGAATGAGACGAGTCCCATTCGAATGCGCAGTATAGTTTGGAGCTCCGCCGGGGAATGAGGATGAGCTCTATCAGGCAGACCCGATCGACGGATCGGTTGGCAATCATTTTTCATGTTGCTAGAGAGAAGACTCAGAGGAGTCTTTTTCTCGAGCCGTTAAAAGCTGCTAGCAATAAGGACGCCTCGTTCCGTCAGCGCTCGATGCGATCACGTCATTTAATGACGTCGCTCTCGGACAAGGAACTACCTGTGCAACCCAGTGAACCATGAGAGCACGGAACAGGCCAGCACGAACGTGACGTCATGCCCCGTCAGGTGGAAGCCTCAGCAGAGCTGGTAGAGCCGCTCAGAAATATGACGAACCCAGAGAAGTTCCGAAGTTTAGAGGCCTAAGCGGGCTGCGGGCCGGCCCGATCGGCTCGACCAGACCCGCGGGTAGGATAGGCTAAATCTCGGTTCGACTATCGAATCTCGGGTCGAGTAGTCGGGTAGGACCACGACTCGAATCGGGTCGATCGGGTCGGATATGGAAAAGTCGACCCGTGCTGGACCGACAGGATGATACGTCGGCTGTTATTATAAAGATGAATGAAGGAGCAACGTTCGGACGTCTCTGTTCAATATGCAAGTAACGCACCATTTTTACACGATGCAAGGGGCCCTTCGAATCCATTGGAAACAACATTTCGTCGACGGATTAATTCCAAGAGAGCAGATTTCCGACGTCACAGGCCTGATAAATGTGCGACAAATTTCCTTCATCATACTTTTTTAATGAAAAGGTACGCAAGAGATCGAATTGGCCTGCGATCTGCCAAACGTTACACGTCGTTACACGAAGACCAAGGAATAATCATTATTGACCAGTAAGTCGAGGATTGCGTTTCTGTTGAACGAAAAAGGAAGGGCTAAGCCTGACCTGATGGCAGTCCGTCGTAAAGACCTAGACCTAACATTAATAAGTCCCATAGAGAATAAGGTGGGAAGTGGGGGTTGAAATTGAGATTCAGGTTGAATAAAGGGAAAGCCTTTGAAAAATGGTCATCAAATTACCTCATACCTCATAATGAAGGGGGCTATGATTATGAAACCTCGCCATTAGCGTGCAAGTTGTATGTTTCTTTTCTCTCTATACCACTTGCTATGTGAAAGAAAGCTAATGGAAAAAAGCGTAACAGCATCAATCAATTTATATGCGGAAATCAATACATTCTTCGATGAAAATAAAAATTTCAATTTCAACTTTCAATGAGTTGACGTGAGACGAGTTCCCATCAATGCAATGTATATGAGGGTTCCAGGAACGGAAAAATAAAAAGGAAAGTAAATGAGACCGATATGAAATGTTTGTACACGGCATAGGTCAGCCTGGCCCACCAGCCAAGGTGGAGAAGAGGGAACCATCATCAATCAACTCATGCGACGCATTTCTTCCCCCGGGATTAAAGAAAAAAATCAATGGGAGGCCATCGAGGTTTTGGTTGTCGTCAGCGCAATCCACACGAAAGTATAGCAGCCCACCCGCACCAATCCTACCAGAATCATTTTGTTCTTCGCAGGGATTCGACCATAACTATGGAACCTCGTAGTTCGCGAGCGAATAAACTCAGGGTTTTCTTTGCATTGTTACTCCTTTTTCGTGATGTTGACTCTGTGGAATTGACCCAATATTTTCCTGTTCACCATGGGCAGCGATACGGGACCGTAATGTTGCAATCCAAGGAACCGAGTCTCGGTATGTGCACCATATATTGTGCGACTCGGGAACCAAGTCCCTGCTACGCCTTCAACTACAGAATAACCGACGGTTCTTGCCAGCTAGTTCTACACGTGAATGGCTCCCTCGTGGAAGACGAAGGATACCAGTCCTTCGTTCGATGTGAGTTAAAATTTTGCAGATTCACCTTGACGGCTTTAAAGAGCACGTATGATCGTTAGACTTCATTCACCTAAACAACAGGGTTGTGTCTGAGAGAGCCCCCAATCCTCTCCAATGCCCTGACGTCCTTTGAGGGTTGGAACGGAAATTCCCCTGCACCAAAAGGAGGCATAGTAACTTTTCGGTGTGAGAATCCAAAAGGGTTTACGGATGGCAATTCTCTCCACACGGCGGAATGCGCCCCCCTAAAGCCGGATTCTTGGTGCAACTCCTTCCAGGAGGGAGCAGTTCATTGTAAGAGCAGTAAATCTTCGAGTCTTCCTCAAATCTAAAGCACTATTCCTCACACTATCCACAATTACAACGCTTGTCGCTCTCAAGTACGAGTCTGGACTTCACAGGTGAGAAGGTGCATGCATATCCAGAATGTCTGTTGACGGAGGCGGGAAGGGAATATATGGGAAGTGTGAACGTGACGGAATCAGGACGTGAATGCCTGTTCTGGAGATCCTATTCCGACGACACGGAGGGCGACTTATTGTCTCCCGACCCCACCGGAATGCCTCCAATCAACACTACAAAGGAACATTTCTTCCTCAATCAGAACAGTGTGATTCACCATAACTACTGTCGGAATCCGTACAGGAGGGAGAGACCTTGGTGCTTCGTCTCGGATAATGTCGTCCAATGGGAATACTGCTATATTCCAATGTGCACCGACCACAGTAATGATTTTTTATTTCAATATGAAGAAACAAAAAATGGAGTTCGAATGATTAGTTGACGTACTCAGATAAGGGTAAGGTAAATGCCTTTTACACGAAATCAACGCCGAATTCCTCCTATACATATGACAATTAACGCAACTAACGCGACAAACGCACATACAGTAAATTAAGATTTGGAATTTGTGAACTGCATGAAAGCCGATCGAAGCGGGAATCTTCTCACTTTTGCTTTCAGTCCCACCGGCGTGCAAGTTGACTGAGCTGGGCGGGGAATACGTAGGAAGGAGGAACGTGACGATGATGGGCCGACCATGTCTTCCTTGGAGAAGCACCGATCAGACTGATTTCTCCACGTTCCCGGATTCCCATGATGTCAACGCCGATCACAACTTCTGTCGCAACAATGTACCGTTTACATTCATTGGAGAGCATCTTTGCTACTTAGGGGTTCATATTTCACTCATATGAACAGTATGAACCCCGGGTCGGTTTAAAAAAATACAAGCAATCCTTTGTTAAGGATTTTTCGTTAAACATTCTCACGGGTTTCATATGCCTCCTTGGTAGACTGACATTAACAATTTTTCCTTGGTTTTTCAAGGACACTCAGAAAAAGGAAGTCGCCAGGAAGTTGCTTGACTACCATATAATCTTTCTTGATGTTATATCCAAATACCATTTATAAAGGAATCGAGGAGCATCCCTGAAGGGATTAACATCCAACCTTTCCAGGAAAGATTTTCACTGCAACAAAATGGGATTTATGTCCAACATCAACTAAAAGGGGAAAAAAAAACTTCTAAGGGAAAAATATTCCATGAAAATAGCGCTAGGAGAATTACCCAGTACTGCATTTTAAATTCCCTGTGTCTATTTGGTTGGGCAAAAAATTCTAAAATCACTCCTACCATTACCCCATTTACCCAAAGGGATATACTGAACTGCAAAAGTAGTTTTTCTTTTAGTTCAGTTTACCCTTTGTCACTTTCAGTTCAGTGTTCATTTCAAACATTTCGGAGGGAGAGTCCCTCAGAAAATGTATGTATCTCCAAAGTCGGATGTATGTCATTGCAAGGAAAGGCAAGATGTTTGTCATAAGTTATATCCGACACAAGCGAGTATGCTAGTCCTTTAGACGAAAGACGTTAGAGAAAAGACTTGCTATGGTTTAGGCTTGCTATGGATGCAATGAAATGAATAATTCAAAATTGGTCGAATATCGTTCCAGTTCAGGACCAGTGAAGTCTATGCTTTTCCATAATGCCAATATAGGCCCAGATTAGGTGCCCGTGAAGCCACGTTTTTAATCAACATTGCAGCAACATAAATCCTGAAAGTTTCTGCAGCCCATATGTAATGATGCAATAAGTAACGATATGAAACGTAAATGGAAACAGCAATAACAGATGTTCCTTCGCTTCATTTGAGCAACGTTGACGTTTTGGACATTCGCACCACGATCCAACATTGTTCATCAACATTACCTAAACATTGCTGGAATACCTTGCGTTACTTAGGGTCATGTGACTTCCATAATGAGGATCATCATGTTAAAATTATCTGCGTCATTTAATGTTCTTATATTTAATTTAATTTCTGCATGTGATCGGCACACTCTTCTTTGCATCTAAATCCCCAAACAACATGTAATGGATGACACGCAAGCTAATTATTTCAGAGTTTCAATGCAATAAATCTTTACAGACTATGGGGGGTTCCATCGTTACATTAATACCTATAGTCAGGTACAATGGCTCTAAGGAAGTTCCATTTTCAAACTTTCCTAGGACTACAAACATTTGTCTTATGAGAAAAAATGTCATTCAGTGAATAGCTATTCACTAAAGTGAATAGCTTAGCTATTCGTGTACCCCTTTCGTTGAGGGTAGTGTGTGCTCAGAATTAGCATTAATCTAAGCATCCGTAAGTGGGTTGGGCATAATCACTAACATCCTGTGCGGGGAAAATCGTTCTAGTCGTTTCCCTACTAAAATACAGGGTGGCGCAAAAGTTGCGCTCCATAAGGTATATTGCATTAAAAGTTCGAATCGTTCGCCATTGACTTGAAAACTTTTCGATTTGCTGTACACATGATGTTTCAACGGATCTTAACTCCACCCTCTCGTATTTTGCCAATTTTACAGCCAACACTTACCTTCAAATACAAAAAAAAAGAATTCATTTAGTGCAACATTCAAATTCCCTATTGGGCGCAACTTTTGTAACCCATTCGCATTCGCAGGTATCCTCAAGCGTACTGGTACGTAAGAACCCTTGTCTTTCCACCTAGCCTATCAATTAGAAAGGCATAGGCCCATACGCCATTCGCCTCAGGCTAATGCAGCAGCATTCTCGGTCAGATAGGCCGAATGGACAATGCGACCTAGATGGGAATGTGTCAAGATTGATGGCATAAGCCACTGTCCGAGGGTTATGTTTAAGCTTACAAAATCAGTCCCCCTCGAAACATCCCCTGAGGCATAGACCCCCATAGTAAGAGTTTTTCTGCAGCCTGCAATCCAGCAGCTCTGTTTTCCCCTTTCATTGACGGAAGAAAGTAGAGGAGAGGTGTTAGCCTAAGCATCCATCCATGGATTAGGTCTAAGCGTACAAAATCAGCTCTCCCCCCTCGAAAATTGGCCCACAATACATGTACCTCCGAAGGCGGACTTCGAAGTCAGACTTTAACTGGAGTCGGCAATGTAGCAACTGTTCAATTTCCACTCAGCTTCGTTGAAGAAAGTGCTTTTTTGAAGATGGTTTTGGCCTAAGCATCCTTCTGTGGGTTTCGCCCTTGTTTACGAATCAGTCCCCCCCCCCCCGGAATTTGGCCTAGAGCATCAATCCCCAAATTCCGAGATTTTTTGAGTCAGTAATGTTAGTAAAGCTAATTGTGTGTCAAGTTTCAAACTCATCTCATATCTAAAACAAGGTTTAAATTATCGTCAGTATGTCACTCATCATCTATGTACATTAGATGAAAACCAAAGCACTGCCCAACATCTGCACAAAATCTGCATAAAATTTTCTCCTGGTGTAAATTCTACCTCTGGAAGAAAAATCATGAATAAAAATGCATATGCAAATTAACAATAACATTTCTGTCCCTGTATCTCCTCAAGGTATAACTGAACGATTAAGCTTCCAATTCATTTGTTTCACAAGCCGGTTTTTTTGCGTATACAAAGTGAAACTTTTTGCTGAAATATATATTAAATATTTCAACATCAGAGATATTACGACGCGTATATCCTTTTCCAGGAAAAAAAAAATACTTCAAAGAATTTAGCAAAACCCTTTTATTTTCAGTGGATTCCAGGGAGTCGAGTTGCTCCCTGGTGTTTCATCGAGGCTGGGAGTTCTTCGAAATGGGAATATTGCGCTGTGGGCTTCTGTGAGCGCCGTGTTGAAGTTGGAGCGGTGGGGCATGTGTATCCTGAATGCCGACTGTCAGAGAAGGGGATCGAATACGTGGGAAGGCAGAACGAGACTGCGACTGGGAAAGCTTGCCTAAAATGGGAAAACGTCCTCTTCAACCAGTCTCTTTGGGACCTCACTCACCCGTATTTCATTATTGACTACTATGACTTGAAAAATTCTATAAACATGGACAATTACTGCCGGAACTTTGGGCGCTGGAAGCGGCCATGGTGCCTGGTTTCTGACTACACATCGTGGGAATACTGTGACATCCCATTCTGCCACGACCCGAGTCCGTCCTGTCACGCTTCCCTGGAACACGATACGTATTTTTTAGATGCATCCTATATATTTGTCGTCTAGATCCACCGGAATGCAAGTTGAGCCGACCCGGAGGGGAATATGTGGGGAAGCTGAACATGACGATATCGGGATACCCATGCAAGCCTTGGCTGAGCATGTGTCCAGGAGACATAGAATTTTGCAAGGATTTGCATATCGGATTTGCAGACGAGCTCGATGGTACCCACCGACTTTGTCGCAATCCCAAAGAACTCTACCATGGCCCATGGTGTTTTACCGACTCAGATGACGGACCTGAATGGGAGTATTGCGACGTTCCCTTCTGCCCATCCGTCAACGGGGAACAATGCGATATTCGAGTGAACGGCCTTTGCGTCAGTGAGTACTTTCTTCCATATCATTGAAACTTTCTGCCCTAATTTTTAATATTGGGTGAAAAGAAATCGCGTCATAATCAACTTGGGAATCGTAGCAGCTTTCTGCACCGTCCCATATATGAGATTCCATGCTAAAACGAAGTCGGATTGGGTTTCTATGGATGTGAAAAAGTGAATAAGTTGATAATAATCGTTCAGGGTAACTTTTGAGTATTGATGCAAGGCTAGAAAAGGCGGAGGTATGTGTCACAAGCGGGATAATGGTAAGAGATTGCTTCAATTTCTGATTTACGGATTCGGATTTCATATCCCCCCTGATGTTGTACTGGTTTTCTCTCCTTTCACGAATTTTACCCTGCAATAAATATGATTCCCAGGCCCAAGTGAGTGCCAACTGGACAGAACTGGGAAGGAATACATTGGGACAAAAAACAAGACCAAGAAGGGATTCCAGTGCCAGCCATGGTTGAGCAATTCACCCAACAGCCAACTCATCGCAATCGATTATCACGACAAGGGTAAGTGGAAGACGCGTTTCCTTTCAGGTTAAGGCAAATGTTATCATTTTTTACTGTCATCTCCATACCCTCCAGGCTTCCAAATACTACTACAACCTATTTACGCCAAACCAACATACTGATTTGTTAATTGTACGTGTTTCTTGTGCTTCCCCAAAATAGGAAATGAAACGCTTCAGAGGCTCCTCTGCTAAATTAAGACTACTCTGACCGAGATGCATGAAACATAGCACAATAAAAAATTGAAGCAATATACATGTCAGCGCATGAGAAAAGGGAACCTATGACGCAACAAGGATTTTAGAGATAAACGGCTTTACATTTTGTGACAGAAGTAGTCGAGTAAATCGCCAATCTCTCCCAAATTCTATGACTTATATGCACTTCATCTTTCTCCAATCCTGAGTTGGTAACACGGATTCATATCATTCGCTCTTTCGGCTTTAAGCTAATGCATCTCTCGTCACTCTAAGTCAATCCGCTCTCGTTCTTACGAGTATCGCTGTGTTCATTCACACACACCATTTACTTGAGCTCTGGTGCTCGTGGTGAGCAGACCGTGCTTTCGTTTCTACTTTACGTAGAATGTAATGACGTTCATGACTGTATAATACAACTATTATAATAACAATGATTAGGCTCATCAATATTCATTATTTCTCAGATGGATGGTATTCTAGAGGATGAGCTTCCCGTTCTAGATGCAGCCTATATTGCAGAGCCACTGCAACAAACTAATTTGTTAATCATAACGATTATTACTTAGAGGATGAAGGGAACATTGCGATTGATGACCTGGATGATATTGTAATTTATAACAAATTCGGAAATCCACCGGACGCTCCATGATGATAGCGCTCTTGCCTTAGAGAAGTCCAACCCCAATATGGAGGATGAGCAGTCCTTTTGACGGATATCATGCGAGACACATGCAGGTTGTGAGCTGGGACCAATTTTTGCAGATGTTCTGAAATGCTAAGGAAGGACCATGTTGACCAGGTTCGAGAGAAATATCTCGCATAGGATTAGGCTAAGCCGGATTTGCGTGTCCTAGCGCACTTGGAGGCAGAAATAAGAGATCCGTCCTTGCATGCAATGTACTTGGATCTGAAGTTTTCCAAGCACAGTCTAGAGCGCACCCAAGAATCAGAGGAAACTTTGAAATTTAGCCTGATGTTTGAGCAATGAAAGTTCACCTGAAGTCATTTGCCAAATACACAGTAGTGGCATTTTCAGGCGGATCATCGACCTGTGATCGGAGACGGTTGGAGGAAACGATGCTAACTCGGCTAAATGATTAACTAGGATTGCCTCCAAAAACTGGAGCAAATTCTTGTCTAAAGGAAAATTCTACGAGGAATCAGCGACGGAAAAATGATCAGTTATTGCGCTATGGTGTCTATAAAACGACAGTTCCATGCCTGTGTTTATTATTTACATGTAGCGCAGTATGTCCCAAGAGAATGTAGCAAGTTTAACGTTTCTGCAACCACATAATTGAGACATACATATTTCCTAAGGAACATAGGAAAGGGCAATTAAACGTTGAGGATTGGAAGCCATCTTTATGTAATGTAACGGGTCGAAGTTGATTCAGTGTTAACAACCACGTTCAAAACACAAATTGAATCAACAAATGTATGGGAAGCATTGCTATAATCAAATTCTGTCAAGATCGATGGTCCCAGGTCAAAGAAGAATCGGCCTAAAGAGTCGATGCAGCCTTCGATTTGGGACCTCAGTTAATTTCGGAGATAAAATACTGAAATAGAGAGAACGCAAGCAATGGAATCAAACAATACCTCAAGCTGGGCACCATATCAGGTCAATCATCGTGCTTGCCTTCACTACATGCAACTTTTCATCCATAGATCTTTATGATGGCGAGAAACTCCAGAGAGGGTATATGTACACGAATGCATGGACATTTCCCGATGACTTGTACCCACAGCACAATTACTGTCGCAACCCGAATGGAGATGAAGCTGTTTGGTGCTACAAAGCTTCTGGGGAAGGAAGGGACTACTGCGAAGTACCCGAATGTCCTTAAAACGTTAAGCCGTCCTTGGAAAGCTCTGTACGTCGAGATAAGTATGGAGACCGTTTTAATCATATCTTTACTATCGTCAAAATGGTGATACTTACCCTTCTCTGAATTTACAAAGGCGTTCCCTGGCTCTGATCCCAGTCAGAGCAAAACATTGCAGTACCTGGTTGAGTGCGTGGATGAGTGCAATCGCGAATATATTATCAACGCTCTTCACCAATATTTCGAATGGCACATGCCGTGAGTTCAGTGTACCACAGATGAGTATATTCGCCAATATATTTGGGCCGCCCTTCCTCGATGTTTCCAGTTGCATGAAGTACCCTTCCTGAAACTACAATTATTTTAGATTTTTGGACACTCGTCCTCCTAGCTACTTGCGAATTCCATGGAGCTGAGTGACAACTGCCTGAAGGTCTTCACATGTTGAATTAAAAATTGACCAATGTATGGCACGCTACATTCACCTGAGGCAAGTACGGTCGCTCAGTACTTCTTTATGCACAGTTCCTAATTTCTGAATAATTTATTGTGGTGATTCAATGCTATTCACTATTTGAGGCACAAAAGGGATCTCACTTATAATATTCTACAGTTTGTGCTGAATCTAGTATTGGTATTAGGGAAACATTTATTTCATCTAAGAATAAAGACTTGATCACTGAAGAAAAATATATTTCATCAACTTGTTCAAAAGATCTGATATGAATATCCTTGAATTTCTGGTTATGTTAATGTAAAATAGGTTAATGCTTTCCTCAAAGTTTTTCTCTTTCCACTGATGGCTGCTTGGCCGAGAGTGGCGTCATTAATTGACGCAAACGCGTCGAGCGCTGACGGAACGAGGTGTCCCTTTGTTGCCAGCAGCTGTAAGTGGCTGAGGAAAAAGACCCCCCCCCCCGATGGTATATTCCCTTGCACACGACAGGAAACTCGATTGCGAACCGAGCTGCCCGTTCGATCCGTCAGGTCGGTCCAATAGAGCCGATCCGCACCCCCTGCATGACTAGAATCCTTATCCAATGCCCGAGTGTTCCAAATTCTAACGGCGTGTCTCACTTGAAGCCACGCTTCAGAACTCGTTGAAAAATGCATGCATACGGTTTAGGATTTTTTAATGACGTAACGCATCCCCCAATATTGATCAAAAGCGCGGCTATTCGAAATTCGAACGGCATCACTTTAGCATTATCTGAGAAAGAATACACTTAACATTTTTATCCTGGGAAGTTGCGGTCTCTGAGGATGGGAAGCATCTCCGAGCATCTTTCGCCCTTCCTCAAATAACCAAGAGTTCCAAATTCGTATGGTGTGTCTCATTCGAGAGCGAAAGTTCCTGGAAAACGAGATCGAGGATATTCTGAGAAAACAAAGAACCAAAAATGGTAAAGAGGGCACTGCAAAATCACTTTCTTCCGCATGGCTTCCAAGCTGATCGACTTTAGAAACAAGGGTGCATATCATCTCTCCAAGAATTGTCTCTGATCGAAGACTCAGTCGATGTCAGGATATCTAGATATGATTCCCAGTACTAATACGAAGGATTTAATATGCGAGAGAAAAGTGCCTCACGTTAGAGTTCCCACTGGCGGTACACCACACGCAAAGGCTCATTTCTGAAAAGGAAACAAGCCAACAGGACCCGGTTAGTCAGGAACTGTATAACCAAAGATAGGGTGACTAAAAACGAGGCTCACACCTGAGTAGATCAGATTTTACGTAAAGGGGAATGTCGGGAAGACTGCTCGAGAGTGTGGTCGGCTTGCGGAAATGCAGAGACCTGCCAGACCGCTCTAATATCATCAAAAACAGAAGAGACAATGTTAGAATGGATGGGAACAACAACGTTAAAATCCGAAAAGGGATCCCCTATCCCATCTTCTCGAAAGGTCACTTGGATGGGGCACAAGTTGGACGTCATCTTGATGAGGGGTGCGAGAACTGGGCCATCACATCCGAAGCCCATAGCTGGGCATCGATTTCCACGTTCCTGAATATTTCAGTGCTCAGCGCTGTTGAACAATAAAATATTTATCCAAATGTGGCAACCTGCGTTGTTCATTCCCACGTTTGACCTTCAGAGAGAGAATGAGAATCGCCCTTTAAGCGGATCTTCAGACAGACACTTGACCATCCCTGTTAAAGGGTGTACTTCGCCGACAAAGGCAAACCAGGACGATTCCGGTAAGGAGCCCACGATCGAATGGAACGGGAGAACGAATCATGATCATGGTATCAGGTATGAACAGCCAACACTGAATTATTGCGAACCAACAGGAAATGACGCATCTCGGACTCCCAAAGAGAGCGAGGACGAGAAGGTAACGTCATCGATCACCCTCAATTGAAAACTGTACCACTTCCTTCGCTGTAAAATAACATACATCAATGTTATTTCACCACCAAGCGCTACATATATGTAGATGTAATGCATCTGGATATAAAACTTTCCCCTGATTCATCTCCCGCCCGAGATATCCATCTGGAGATTCCATTTTCCTTCTCTTAACTTCTCACTTGAGATGTACAATATTATTCATCAAAATGAGGGCTAAAATTATGTAACATGCATTGTAACTAGGGTGAAAGCTGTATCTTTCGCTCCCTGTCTCTACTTCCAGCTAGGTGATGAATGCTGAAACAGGGTAATTTCATTGATCAGTTTGTATGAGCGAGTGGATACATTCTTACATGAAAAAATAAAATCTTAAAGGAATCCCTAAGGTAAGTACTATCATCAATGCAGTGCATCGGAGGGTTCAGGGAATCAATAAATAAAACAGAAAGTAAATGAGATCCATATGACGCGTTTGTACACGGCATAGGTCAAACTGGAGCACCAGCGAAGAAGGAGGAGAAGAGGGTACCATCATTAATCAACATATATGATGAAATTCTCTTTCCGAAATCAAAGGAATAAATCAATATCAGGCCGTTGACCTTCCAGTTGCCGTCAGCGTAATCCATGTGAAGGTATATCAGCCCACCCGCACCTCTCCTACCAGAATCGTACAGATCTTTGCAAGGATTCTGCCTCCAACTATGGAACCTCATAGTTCGGGAGCAGACAAACTCAGGGCTTTCTTTGAACTGCTACTCCTTTTTCGGGATGTTGGCTCAGTGAACGTTATTTCATATTATTCCGTTCATCATGGACAGCGATACGAGAACGCGACATTGCTAAGGAACCGAGTCTCGAAATTTGCTCAATATATTGTGTGATGCAAAAACCTAGTCCCTGCTACGCCTTCAACTACCGAAGGAGCGACTATTCTTGCCAGCTGGTTCTACATGAGAATGGCTCCCTCGTGGAAGGCCAAGGATACCAGTCCTTCGTTCAGAGTGAGTTGAAATTTTTGCAGATTTACTTTGAGGATTTAGAGAATACCGATGAACGTCACTCTTCATTCCCTAAACAATTTTGCTGTGCCTCAGAGCGCCCCCTATTATCCTTTGAGAGTTGGAACGGAAGTTTCCCAGCAACAAAAGGAGGTATAGTTACATAGCGCAACGCCCCAGTGAGAATGATTCTAAGTTTCAAGTCCACAACTCCAGCTTTTTTAGTTCATACTGTAAATAATGTTGGGTATACCTTTTTGGATCACCCTGTATTTAATCTAACATCTTGGTATTATATCCATAATATAACGAGAGATGGATATGGCGCTGAGAAGACTTACATGTTTCTTCAGGCAATGATTATGCCGAAAGCAGAATTTGTCACCTCGAAAGGACCGAAGTAAAATTAGAGCATAGGTTGCCCCAACTTAACTATACAACGTAGAAAAAAATCTAGTTTTCGCTGGCTTCTCGGTTATTACATACATAGTAAATGATTCATTGAAACATCGCAATGTCGTAATAGTATGAGGGAGATGACCGTGTATCTAAACTTTTATGAACTGATACCTAGAAGGTAGCCACTGAGGCATCCGTTACTATGATAGAATTCATGTACTTTGATTGCTCACCCACTCTCTGCATAGATTGATATTCATTGATTGACCATTCATTGATTGACCGTTCATTGATTGACCGTTCATTGATTGACCGTTCATTGATTGACCGTTCATTGATTGACCGTTCATTGATTGACCGTTCATTGATTGACCGTTCATTGATTGACCGTTCATTGATTGACCGTTCATTGATTGACCGCTCATTGATTGACCGTTCATTGATTGACCGTTCATTGATTGACCGTTCATTGATTGACCGTTCATTGATTGACCGTTCATTGATTGACCGCTCATTGATTGACCATTCATTGATTGATTGGTTGGAAATAAGCTCATGAAAACAATATGCAAGAGGCAAGCAGCCCAATGAGTGCATTTAAATGGAAGAGAAGATTGACTCTGTCTCGAGGACCTGGAGGGACGAGAAGTTCTGCACGAATGACGCAAGCTTCAATGGATTCATTGCTTTTCGCGACCATTAGCATAGAACGTATTCAGGGCCATTGAGCTCAGGTTAGTAATATTCACAACTCGGTTTTAGTGATCAAATGAATTTTACATGTGATATGCGAAGGAGAATGGCAAGCTACACTCGTCAAATTTTCCAAGCGCGTAAGGATTGAAAAGAGGAGACTTCCTGAGCTAGCTCCCATTATTAACTTCGATCACTTGACAATCGCTCCCTCGTCGCTCCTATTCGCACGCGCTTGCTTCCCCACCTTCCCTTTCTGTAAATAATGATTGAAATCAATGTCAACCAAACTCGGTGCCTGAGTGTCGTGGTTATGGAAAGGACCAGTCGGTTTTTGCCTTGTGTGGCAAAGTTCGACTCGTAAGTAGTTTACAGCCTGGGCGAATACATGTTTCTGCTCACATTGACATCCTAATTTGAGGTGTAGTACTCGCTTATGAATGGAAATGGATCTTGTCAATGACCAGAGTCCAAGGTGTTCGCCAATGCCAACGGAATTGCATTCCGGTTGATGGAACGTTAGCCCCGGCTTAGGATAATGTCTACCCTATCCAGTATTTTAAAATGTAATG